GCAGGTAAGGCCCTACGAGGAGAGACTGAGGGACCTAGATCTCTTCAGCCTTCACAAGAGAAGGCTGAGACATGATCTTGTGGCTGCCTATAAATTCATCAGGGGAGGGCAGCAGGGAATAGGAGATGGTCTATTTACTAGGGCACCTTCTGGAGTAACTAGGAGCAATGGACACAAATTGACAGGAGGCAGATTTAGGTTGGACATTAGAAAAAACTTCACAGTAAGGGTTGCCAGAATCTGGAACGGGCTCCCAAGGGAGGTGGTGCTCTCCCCTACCCTGGGGTCTTCAAGAAGAGACTGGACAAGCACCTGGCTGGGGTGGTCTGACCCCAGAGCTCTTCCCTGCCCAGGGCAGGGGGTCAGACTTGATGACCTACTGAGGTCTCTTCTGACCCAAACATCTATGAATCTATGGCAAGAGGCGAAGCTACTACTAGCCCTTCCTACTGAAGTATCAACTGAGACTCCAGTGCACAGAGCAGGGTACTGTATAGGACTGCCCTCTTATTGTGGAAGAAAAATGGTGCCATCAATGTGAAATCAGTGAGAAGAATCACTTGCTTACCTGTTACTTGAATGGAATCTGACATAGAAAAAATTCCAATTTATGCTATCATTGAATTCTAATTTGTGCTGTCATTTCAGGTTCAAGTTTCAACATTAAATACACAAACAAAAGGGAACAAGTTTTTCTGGCTGCTTGGATGGGGACTCCCCTAATTCAGCTACATCCTCTCTGGTATTTGCCAGTGTATTCTTTTTCTCATCACTCTTTCTCTCTGTTCAGATGCTCAGATTATCCTCCAAATTCCCACTCAGTCTCCATCTCTCATACATTCTTGCACCCCTAGTTTTCTCCTCTCTTTGATGCCACTTTTCCAAGGTATCCCTTCCATATCCTGCAGCACCTTGTGTCTTGTTCCTTAACCTCACTTTCCCCATTCCATAGCGCTCTCTTTCCATCAGTCTGTCTCTGCACCCTATTTTCTCCCATTCCCAAGGCTGTTGGATAAGTTTTCAGGCATCAAGTGCCTTTCCTCAGGTCATGCAAAAGCCTCTGTCTGTAAGCCATATTCATCCAAGGAATAACAAGTCCTAGTCCTGGTCATTTCAGAAAGTGGGGTCATAAGACCCCATGCATGGCCCTACGTTCCACTGCCAGTCGGTTATAAATGTTCTCACGTAAATAATGTTGAATGCTTATTAACGACAGGGATTTACGAAGTACGAAATCTAAACCATTCAAAGAGGTATTGATTGCATGTAGCCACACCACCTTGAACTGTGACCTTATCAGGTTTTATAAACTAAACAATTAGATATGAGATAACTGAAGAAAACCTTGATGCTGCAGGTAGCACTGCACGTGACCAGAAATGATTTGCTGGGCTCCTGTGCTGCCAGCGGGTTTGGATAAGACATAGATATGAGTCTCCAGTTTCTCATAGGACTTTTTGCAGGAGCTTATATTAATTTAGGAGCCATTCCACCTGCTGAAATACCCTATAGAAGGGATCATTTTTTATCTTTCCTTGCTAGGATGTTGTTGTGTGTTGTTAACAGCTGCCGTGTTCCACTTCAGAAGTAGCAGCAGTCCGTTGATGGATGAAACAATCCTTAGTTACAGGTTGCCTGTGAATCTGTGAATGAATAGGTGTCAAGAGACTGTAACCTATCATAAATCCTATTCTCCAGGGTTTCAGTCTCATGCTGATAGTATTTATGAACTGAAATATATCTTGCGGTCAGCCAGCTGACCAGAGAGGCAGCACTGTATGGGCACCTCTCCAAACACAAGGGGAGCCTGTCGGCCCGCTTTGACCAGCTTGTATCCTGCATCAGGAGTGCCCCGTGGAAAGCCAGAAACCTCCTGATGTACAAGCACATGGATATTGAGCTGGTGGACTGTTAAAATGACTCTAAGCGAACTCCAGACCAACTACCAGAGATCGGTAGTAGAGGATGGTGAGGATGTGGCCAAAGCCACCTGGTAGAGAGAGACTTGGCACAGGATCTTCCAACCCCACCCCCAGCGGGGAAGCGGACTGTGACAATGAGAGGATGCAGAGATGACTGGATTTGAAGACGGCAGCAGCAACAGCAATCGAAGCAGAAAGTCCTCCAGCAGGAGCTGGAGCGACACAGACAATGGATGAACAAAGTTGTGCATCCCTATGAGCGGGTGGGGATGAAGGGACGGTGGTGTCTGGTCTGAGAGAGCAGCTGACTTGTGTGTGTGGTGCGTAAATGTATATATTGTAATGGGTTTGGGTGTCCAGCGGGACTTTGTACGGGTGCATGGGTGTAGGGATTGTAACAGGCTTATGGGTTTTCTTTTTGGTGTGTGACTAGGAGTGTAGATATATATAACTTTATATATATATATATATAGATATATATTTTCACAAAAAAAAATTGCTTGTAAAATACTTGAAGGGTTATTTTGGTTTACTTCCTCTCTTAAAGGATTGACTTCAGCACAGATGACATCATGGGGATTTCTCATCAGCAGCATGTATATTTTTGTGTGCGGGTCCCAAGGAGACATGACATATTTATAAGTCCTGCATAAATGCTAAGCACTGGGGTTTTTTAAAAGAAGGGTTTCTACCACTTACACAACGTGTTTTGTCTGAAATGTTGTTGTGTGCTCCCTTATGTATCATGACACTCAACTTGCCAGGACAAAGCTCCTCTTTGACGAATGGCACTTTCTCTCCTTTTGTTAAAATTGCAGGAGTTAATTTGAACAACTGCACTGCAAGACAGAGGAAGAGCTTCTTTCCTCACAGTATCTAAGGCCCAATGTATGGGTAGTTCGGTGGGAATACATTATAATAGAATTGCAAGCCAAGGTGCAACCTGGCTTTACTGAGCCAGAGAGGGAGTGGATATGGCCTGGCCCTGCGCTGCGCTATGCTGGGCTACTCTGAAGTGAACTCGTGCTTCTTTTGACCTCAGCAGCGAGGACTGTGCATGGTGTGAGGTACCCAGACTGTTGCGTCCTGCCATGGCCAGTCCAGAGCTGTTTCTTGGTGTAGATCAGTCTCTTAGATCCAGAATAGAGCCTTTCACCTGCGGTAAATAGAGACCGTGATGCACAAACACTTGCAGGCCATAAACACCACAGAGAAAGAGCTGTAGAGTGAAGTAGGGGTGGGGGGAAAGCCGGCTTTCTGATCAGGAACAGCTGTTTTGAGAGTGATGATGACAGGCGGGACTTCTTCTCCGTAAGGCGACTGGTGGCACGGCCAGGAGACAGCGAGCGCGGAGCAGATCAGTCCTCGGCAGGGCTCCTTCCCATCTCCACCCCTGCAGCTCTCCCCACCCAGCCACCAGGGATGCAAGCTCTGCCACCACCTCTCTGCGTGACCTTGGTCAAGTCCCATTACCCCGACCTAATTGCCAAATGGGCATAAAGGACGCCCCCCCCCGCGCTCAATTTGCCTAGGGATGAAGGGGTACAGAGGAAGGATCTTCCTGGAGGCTCCCAGGCACAGACATTCCTTCTGCGCAGGCGCAGCCCCCCCCCGTCCCTCGGAGCACGTGGAGAACTCCATTTCCCAGCAGGCATCGGGAGCGGGAGGAGCGTCCCTCAGCTCGGAGTGGGCGGGGCGCGTGACGCCACGAGGCAGGCCCAGCTCCCGGCCGGCGGAGGGACGCAGGGGCGGGGCCGCAGCAGGCGACGTGGAAAGATGGAGGCGGCTTGAGCGCGGGGGCGTGGAGGACGCGCGCCGGGCACCCCAACCCCCACCCCCTCT